AATCTGTAGTCTTTACAATGCCTCACAAGGCCCTGCAGAACCCCTCAGTCCACAGACTTAATGAACCCACTCTGCGCTACTCGCTGGTAAACCATACTGTCTTTGTAACTATTCCTTAAACATCACTACTCACACTTGTTCCCAAGGGCCTTTGCACTGGCTGTCTTCTGTACCTACAAAGCTGTACTCATGATCTGGGTACGGTGGTGCATGTTTGTAACCCCAACATTTGGGAGGCTGAAGCAGGAGTATCTCAAATTTATAGCTAGGCTACATAGTGAAATACTGTCTCAAAAAAAGCAATCAAAAAACCTTATTCATGATATCCCAAAGGTTTGTTCCTTTGTTTAAGGTTTTATTCAAATGTCACTCCATCAGGAAGGCATCTCTGGTGATTTTAAAATTGCTTTTTATTTGATATTCCTCCTTTCAAGAGCTAGAGCTAATTCTCTTTCCCTTGATTATTGGCTGGGCTAAATTAGTCCTTTCTAAAGAATAGATTATGGTGAGAGTACTATGTCACTTCTAATACAAGGTCATTAAAATCATTATAATTACCCAGGCATGGTGGCACATGCCTGTAATTTCAGCACCAGGGAGGCTGAGACAGGAGGATCTCCAAGAGTTTGAGGCAGCCTGGAATGCCTTGTAATCTCAAGGCTAGCTGAACTTTGTAATAAGACAATGTCAGAAAAAAAAATTACCCCAGTCTTGTCATGAGAACAGATCAGTCAAACCCAGACTGAGAGAGAGTCTAGAAAATACCCTATCAGTACTCTTCAAAGTTTTCAAGATCCTGAAAAACAAGACGAACTGAGAGACTGTCATCAGTTGAAGGAGACTAAGGAAACACGATGACTAAATAAAATGTGATCTCCTAGACTGGATCTGGGATGGAAAAGAGTCTTAGCAGAAAAACTGGTGCAATGATTCTAAGGATGGCTGGGAGAAGAAGTAAGGAGAGCGCAGCTCCAGAGATGGGGGAAGAAAGGGAGTGAAAAACGCTCTTCACAGGGACCCAGTGCCTGTCTCCAGTCACACTGTGCACACTACCTGGAGCCCCATTCCTTTGCCAAGGCTCTGCTTCTATGAAGCCTTTCCAGGCTCCCTTGGCCTAGGTTAGTTCTTCCCTACTCCAAGCTCCCATAGACTTTTCTTTCTTTTTTCTTTTCTTTTTTTTTTTTTTTTTGTCTTTTTGAGGCAGGGTCTCGCTATGCAGTTCAGGCTGGCCTTGAACTCATGACAATCTTCCTGTCTCAGCCTCCCGAGTGCTGGGATTACAGGTGTGCGCTACCATGCCCAGCAATCCCATAGTCCTTTGCACGTGTCTTTCTTTTTTTTTTTTTTTTTTTGTCTTTTTGAGACCGGGTCTCGCTATGCAGTTCAGGCTGACCTTGAGTTTACTTTGTAGCCCAGGCTGGCCTCGAACTCTCAACTATCCTCCTGCCTCTGCCTCCCATGTGCTGGTATTACAAGCATGAGCCACCACGCCCGGCGGCACATGTCTTTCTAAGGCACCTTCCACATAACTGGGCCTTTGAGTCCTGGGGCCCTAATTACAACAAGTGAGTCCCTGGGCAACACTCCTAGGCTTGCAACTTCTCCCAGGGCACTTAGGCCTTAATGGAAGGAGGAAGGGAGGAAACAAGGAAAGGGGTGGAGCTTCAGAGCTGTGCTGGGGCTCCGTTAGGACGATCACCTTTCCTTCTCCTTCAAATTCTAGCCTCACTGCCAGGGGAAGCACTCCCATCAGTGTGCCTGTCCCTCTGTCTTATGTAAGCACTCTGCCAAATATCATGTATTTGAACAGTATTAATTTTCTCCTGCTCCTCTTTCTCCACAGTACATCATGTTCCTCTTGTAATACAGACACTGTGAGTCCTCTCGCAGCACCTGCCCCAGGTCTCTGAAGGCTCCCTGATATTCGGTATGCAGACTGGCTTGAGAGGCCACTTTCTCTCCAAAAGAACAGCTTGTGCCAAGGCTTGAAGCACATAGAGTGCTCTGGGAGTCACAAGTGGTAGTGTCGTGTTTGGTCTGTAGAGTGGATTGGGAGCAGTGAAAGATGAGGCAGGACAACTCGGCAGGAACTAGGCTCGGTCGGTGTCTTCAGTGTAGCTGTAACAGAATACTTGAGAAGGGTGATTTATAAAGAACAGAGATTTGCTTCACAAAATTCTGTTTGAGGGGTTTGTTTTGTTTTGAGATGAGGTCTCACTGTGTAGTTCAGGGTGGCCCTGAACTCATTATCAGCCCAGGCTGGCCTTGAACTCATGGTGATCCTTCTGGCTCAGCCTCCTAGATGCTGGAATTACAGGCATGTGCCACCACACTCAGCCTTAGTAATTTTTTTTTAACTTATGGAAGTCACTGAAGAATTCCAAACACTTTGGAATTCACTCCCTTCCCACTCAGTCCTCTTGTCGTCCTATCACTTTACGCCCTGTACCTCCTAACCCTTTGGGTCATACCAACATCCTAGAAACACCAAAGATTTATTTACATACCCTTCAGTATGTAAGTTTTCTGTTCATACTACCTCATTTCAAGATTTTGGTGCCAATAGGTGGGGAAAATGGCTCCTTTAAGTTATTTACCTTACCCTAAGTCACAGATCGAGAAAGAAGGAGCCGGGGATATAGTTCAGGGGTACAGCACCTGCCTGGCAAGGGTGAGGTCCTGAGTTCAATTCCCAGCACAAACACACACACACACACACACACACACACACACAAATTCAGAAAGAAGCAGAGCCCGGTTTCTTAACTGACCTCAACTTGCATTAATTGACAATGCATGGTACTGGGAATTAAACCCAGGGGTACTCTACTGGATAGAAGCCTTCAGAGACCTGGGGCTACATCCCCAGCATTTTATTTTTATTTTGAGATAGGGTATGACTACGCCTACAAATTTGTGATCTTCCTGCCTCAGCTTCCTAAATAGCTGGGATTATATACATGCATCATTGTGTCCAACCTCTCTATCATTTTCTAAGTCTTTTCTTTGGGGAAAAATTTAGAGATATCGGTATGGTGATACATTCGAGGCCTGAAAGCAGAAGTGAAAATCAGCCTGGGGACTGGACATTTCTAGCATAAGGACTTTCAGATTCTGCTGGGCCCTGTATCACCCAGTCTTGCTCACCTCGCTGTGCTTAGCAGCCAGTCTCTTCCCATTCTCTGGGTCTACCCGCCCCCTTCAGTTCTGCTTACTCCCATTCCTATGCCCTTCTTCACTTCCTTGAACACTATTTACCCTTGAATTCTTGATTTTGAGTGATACATTTGTCGTGAAATTTCTCTGACCCCTCTAGATAATCTAAGCAATGACAGTAGGTGGCCACACATTCCCTCTCCTTCCACAGCTCTAACAAAAAGGAGTTTGGCCAGGCATGGTGGCACACGCCTGTAATCCCAGCACTCAGGAGGCTGAGGCGGGAAGATTGCTGTGAGTTCAAGGCCAGCCTGGACTACATAGTGGGTTCAAGGCCAGCCTAAACTACATAGTAAGATCCTGTCTCAAAAAAACAAACCTAACATAACAAAACACAATGAGTCCGGCTCCGTACTGAGCTCCCAAAGCTCTTCAGGAAAGGTTGGCTCCTTCCTACCTCATCTCCAACTACCTACCCCTGTCCTCTTCCACAGGCTAGAAATACATAACCAAATGCATTTCCCAGAACCTGCAAGCTTTTGAAGCCTTTCCATGTACATTTTCTCTCTCTGGAAGGCCACTACCACCTTATTCCACAGCTTCTTGGACCAGGAAAATGCGCAATTGTCCTCAGTCTCAACACCAACATAACCTCTACTTCCCCGGCCACCATCACCACTCAGACCTTCATGTTTGGGCCGACTGCTCCCTAACTGGTCTCCAGGGTGCTACTCTAAACTCACCCCTTCCATTTTCCATAAAGCACCCACAGTAATCTTTTTAAAATACAAACTTGATCGCATCAGTCCTCCCTTCTTAAAACTCTTAAATGGCTTCCCGTGCCTTGACGCTAATGTCATCACTCCTTCACCCAGTTCTGGACTCCTCTCACTTCTCTTGCTTCTTGCCTTCTAGATCCACCCACTACACTACTGCTACTCCAAGCACAATTCCTGACACATTCGCTCAGCTCCTTGAAGCTTGCCTACCCAATACTCTTTCCTCTGAAATTTCCTCTTCTTGTCCTGACTAATTTCTACTGACCCTTCTGGTTGGGATTAGCCTGAACTCCCTTCTCCAGAGAACATCCCTGGCATAAGCAAGCTGCCTCCACTTTCTGTTTGCACTGTCCAGCATTTACCCCAGGACAGCACCAATCCTGTCTGTTAGTGGCTGTTTATTTACTTGTGTGTCTTCTACACCCAGGAACTCCTTGAAGGCAAGGAACCTGCTTTATGTCCTGCTCTAGCCCAGAGCCAGCAGGTCGTCATAAATAACTGTTGAATGGTGGGTGAATGACTTTGTCTTCACAATGCATGCTCAGGTACAACTGCAGCTTCTGTCACCACTAACCTCAGTTCCCACTTTACATTACAGTTGACTAATTGAGAGGGCTCTCTAAGGACTGGGATTGCAGCATTCAAGTGTGTACCTGTGCCAGCGAGGTGGTACATACCTGTAATACCAGCACTCGGGGTCGATGTGAGTTCAAGGCCACCCTAGACTAGATAGTGAGTTTAAGGGCAGCCTAAACTACATAGAAAATTTGTATATCTAGTGCCTAATACAGAATTCAGCATTCATTCTCCCATTTACCCACTGGTTTTTGTTTTATTTTGTTTTTTGTCTTTTTTTTGAGACAGAGTTTCACTGTGCAATTCAGGCTGAACTTGAGCTCACTTTGCAGCCCAGGCTAGTCTCAAATTCACAACGATCCTCCTGCCTCAGCCTCCCAAGTGCTGGGATTACAGGCCTGTGCCTCCATGCCCGGCCCTACCCATTAATTATTAAAAATAATTAATTATTTTTAATAATAATTAATTGACTGTCTACTATGTACCTAGATCCTGCTGATGGAACAGTGAACAAGACACAAGACCTGGCCTTGAATTCACATTTCATTGACATAATAGGTGCTCAGCAAACAGGAAGTTCACTGCATCTCAGTCCTACTGGGGTAAGACTATGAAGGGGTCTTTCCTGTCTGGAGCTAAAAAGCAAGGACCACTGGCCCAGGGAGAGGAAAGTAGATTGTCTTGGTGAGCTCTGGACCACAGTTTATCCAGGTCCCCTTGGGACTGGCCCTCAGGCAGCCGCAGGGAGGGGGCGAGGAAGGAGAGTAGGGTAGAGAGGGTCTGAGTCCCCAGAGACCAGCAGTGGTGTTGCAGCTCAGTGCTCGAAGCCACTTTGCGAAGGCATTCTGCCAGGCTTTGCTGGTAAACAGCTCTCTTCTTTGCACTGGGCCAGAGGAAGGACGTGGGTCCACAGAGGGAAAGTGGTAAAAAGATAGCAATGACGGAGGAAGACGGAGGGAGAGAAAAGTGGAATGAAATAGAAGAGGAAGGGTAAGGAGGGCAGAATCAGAAACCTAGGAAATGGAAGGAGGTGAGGTACAGACATGAGCTAGGGCCTGGCCTGCCGGCGGAGCCTGTGCACATCACAGTGAGTGGCTCTGGGGTACGGCTCTTCACTTGTGTCACTGGAGAAGAAAAGGGAATTCAGTTTTGAGCCCTTAGAATTCCCTAGATGCTTTCCAGGGCCCACTGATCCTTCAGGTCCTCACCAGTCCCATCTGGCCATCACAGGAGGCTCCTGCCAGGAAACTGCTGGCCCCAAAACCAGCCTATACTCGGTGCAGACGCCTCCCAGCCAGTGAAGGAAAACAATCTCACAGAACAGCAGCCACTGATTCTAGTCTTCCTCAGAAAAGACTCTCTGTTCACCATCTGCTTCCCGATGAGGGTCTATGCTCTGTGAGCCCCTGGCCTGCCACTATCTTAATTTGCAAGCACAGAGCAGAAACTTCCTTGAGCTGAGAGCTGGGGAGACGTGGGCACCGCCCCAGGAGCCCCCAGATGCCAAGCCAGCAGCCCGAGTTCCTCACAGTGCCACTGCTCTTGCCAGCAGCCTCAGCTGCTCGCTCCTGAGGCTGTGATGCCATCTGCTGCCCAGCTAAGGAAACTGGCCCTGCTCTGACTGCAGGGCGAGGCCCGGCCTAGCCGAGGCTGGGCAGGAGGCCATCTGTGCCTCAGGAACACCATGTCTTTGTTCTGGACAAGCCAATGCTGCCCCTCAGTGTTGTAGCAGATGCTCTGATCCCTCTCATCAGCCATCCTTCTTGACTAGGAAGCATCTCCCTCTTCCACAAGAAGGAACATAGGGAATCTGGAGGGATGGATGGGTCTGCTGTCTTTTGGAAAAGACCAGTGTCATCTCAAGGTTAAATTACCTAAAGGAGTACCAACCTGCCTTTACAATTCTGTAATTTTCTTCAAAGTGATTTTTTTTTTCTTTGCAGGTTTAACTAAGATCATTCTGAGTTGAGTTAATTGGATGAATGAAATAATGAGGCCAGGCCTAGAAGAAACAGGGCTTTGAAGAAACAAGCATGCTCCTTCGGAATTGACACAAAGACCCACAGACTCAGCTGTTTGTGAAGCTCCCCTTCTCTGTGTTACGTTCAGGACTTTTTCCAAATATGTTAAGAGCCACATATTTGTTGAAGAGATGGTGAGTTTCAGGAAACTTTCTGCAAAAACTGGCCTCCAAGGTGATCCCCGATGATCTGTATCTCCTATGCTTGCATTGGTAGTCCTGTCCCACATGGAACCAGGGCCTGTCTGTGTGGCCAGTAGAATTTGGCAGATGTAACTGTAACTGCCAATATTTGGTTATGAAAGACACTGTGGAGCTGGGTGTTCTGGCACACTCCTGTAATCCCAGCACTCAGGAGGCTGAGGCAGGAGGATCGCCGCAAGTTCGAGACCAGCCTGAGCTACAAAGTGAGCTCAAGGCCAGCCTGAACTGCATAGCAAGACCCTCCCTCAAAAAAGACAAAAAAAGAAAGAAAGACACTGTGGCCTCCGTCTTGGTCACTTTCTCTTTGTTTCCATAACCATTTGCTCTGGGGGAGGGCTGTTGCCATGTTGTGATCAGCCCCATGGAGAAGCTCACATCAACAGCCACACTGCCAATCTGGGAAGCCGATCCTCTGGCCCGAGTCACGGTTTGACATGGCTGACTGCAGCCCTCGGTGTACAGCTTGCCTGCAACCTAGTGAGGGATACTGAGCCAGCTCAGCTGAGCTTCTGCCCCTCAGAAACTGAGATAAACGTCTGCTGTTTTAAGCTCTTAAATTTGAGGACAGTTTATTTTGCAGCAACATAATAGACCTACCATATGTTTTATTATTCTATCATGGCATATCATCTGCATCGTATCACCTCATTTCCTTATCAGTCTGGCACCTGGACTCCGTCCCAAAACCTCTCTAACTTCGTCTTTTACTACCTTGCCTCCTCCTCAGCCTAGCCTCACCCTTGGCTGAGTCCTTCCTCAGGCCCTTTCAGTTTGCTTTCCTCTCTGACGGAACCCCCTCCTAGCCACACACCTGTCACCAAAATCTCTTTTCAGTGAAGCTTTCCTTGACACCCTTAAATTGCAACTCCCACCATCTTCCTATCTTTTCCCCTAGTTTATTTTTATTCTTAGCTTTACCATTATGTGATATATAGTAACATACATTTTATACATTTATTCTGTGATTTTTGTCCTCTCCACTAAAATGTAAGCTCCAGCTATCACCAGCACCTGGAATTGTGACAAGCAAATAGTGTACATGTAATACATACTTAAATGAAAAAACAAGTGAGGGGCTGGGGATTTAGCTCAGCGGCACAGCGCCTGCCTGGCAAGGGTGAGGTCGTGAGTTCGATTCCCAGTAACGGGGTGGCGGGGGGGCGGGGGGAGAGAAAACAAATGAATGTCATAATATTACCTGATGGAGGGTCCCATGGAAATTCCTTCCAAGTTCTTGTGTCCTGAACAAATAATTGGACAAGACACAGAGAAAGGTAGCCAGGTGTGTACATTTATTAACGGTGGAGAAGAGGTACACTCTGCAGAGTGAGTGTGGGCTAGTGTACAAAGTCACAGAATTAGGGAAAGGGACCTTTTTGTATCTCATATTCCTGGATTGGCCTCTTCCTCATCCAAGTAAGGCATTGGGACAGTTGTCCTGTCAAAAACTCACTTGACCTGGCATCAGATATAAACTGCCCTATTGAAAGATTTGCTTGACTTTCAGCCAGATGTAAACAAAGAAATGAAAATAGCACCTTTCTGATCATTTCTCAAACAGTGCCAGATGCAAAGGAGAGATTAAAAATATTGCTTTCTGATAGGTTCTGTGTGTAATATTCAGTAGCTGTGGGGTCATTTTGGGCCCTGTGTTCTGTACATGTCCTCTGAATATTTATGACCTTTGATTCATTTCACCTCGTTGTTGGACTGGTTCACCCCAGCCCTAACCTCCTACTTCAATAATGCACTAATGTCCTCTAGTTGCCATATCATATATCACATATATGTTATTTTTAACTGCAGCTTGAGGCAGTGCAGGCCAACCTGGGCCGTAAACAAGAAGACCTAGCTTTTGTTGCCTGCTGGCTGACTGCCTGACTATGAACCCAGCACATAAGCTCTCTGAGCTACAGTTTACACATCTGTACAGTAGGACTTATACAACTTTCCTGTCCTATCATATGGTAGTCATAGAGACCAAATGAGATAACGGAGGTTGCAGCATTTAAGAAATTCCTAATATATGATGTGTTTTTGAAATGTGTTCCAAAGACCACTGGTGCCAAGCTAAGGTATGTAAAGAGAAAAAAAGTTCAAAGAAGTCTGGGAAATGTAGGGTCCAATATTCTAACTCTTGTGGCCATCCACAATTCATCTTAGCACATGCAAGGCTCTGAAAATCATGCACTGAAAGGTCTTCCCCCACGCACCGGACTTTACCCTGGGAAACCTTGCTGTACATAAATACAAAGCATTGCCTTTGTGATCTGAGTAGTATTGTTACTGCTGAAGTTCTTGAAAAGAAAATCCTGCTGGGATGAGTGATGAGCTCCAAGAGGAGGGAAGAGGAGGAGAGGAAACCGAAGAGGAGGAGGCACAAGAAAGGAAAGGAAAACGAGAAAGAGGAAAAAGAGACTGGAACAAGAAAGAAAAATGGTGGTGAGGGGAGAGGACAACTAAATTCATCCCTTTTGCAAATATCTTCAACAAAAGCAATTTCCTATGGATAGGGCTGATGTGAGAGAGAGAATCCCAGAATCCTAGTCCTCCCAGTTGGCTGAGCTCTGCTTTTTCCTTTGAACGTTGTTTCTGCCAATTTCCGCAGTTTGAAGCTCTGGCTTCCTTTTCTGCTTCAAGGAACTGCTGATTGAAAAGATTTCTTCTCTGTCAAAGAGGAAGAAGCAGGTAAACCAAATCAGCAGCTTTGTAACATAGTGTACTTATTAAGTGTCTGCGAGGGCAGCCGCCATTCTTCCCTTCACAGTGAGCAATGTTCCGCATGGCAGCGTTCAGCTCCCCAGAGCATGCCTGTCTTAGCAAAGAGGAGCCCCAAGGTCCTTCAACCTCCCTGGAGATGCTCCTAGTAAAATAGATTCTGCCACTTGCTCGGGCATCCACTCACATTCCAGCCTTCAAAGTGAGGTCTTTTAGTACATCTCATCTTAGTCTTTTCTCCATGATTTTTTAATTGCCTTTCTATTTCTCTAGGAGAATGGAGTGAATTGTCATAAGCTGCATATATAGCATTCACAAGGCAATCCATCTCTCTGGGCATATGATTAGTAAACAAACACAATTTGATTTTTTTTTTTTTTTTTGTAGTGCTAGGGATCAAATCCACTAGAAACAGCTTCACACTGAGCTGCTACACCCTAGCCCAAACACCATTTGGGGGCCTCATTGCCTGTTGGGAGAATAGGCTTTGTTGTTGTTGTTGTTTTTGGTACCAATTAAACTCAGGACCTTGCACTTGCCAGGCAGGCGCTGTGTCACTGAGCTATATCCCCAGCCCTTGTTTGTTGTTTTTTGAGACAGGGTCTTGCTATGTAGTTTAGGGTGGTCCAAAGCCCAGGTTAGCCTCACACTCATGGCAATCCCCAGGCCTCATCCTTCCCAGTGCTGGGATTAAAGATGTGTACCACCATTTCCAGCAGGAGAATAGGCTTTAAAAAAAAAAAAAAAAAAAAAAAACAAAACTATTTAGTCAGGAGTCATGGCTGATGCCTGTAATCCCAGCATTCAGGAGGTGGAGGCAGGAGGATCGTCACAAGTTCAAGACAAGTCTAGGCTACAAAGTGAGCTCAAGGCCGGCCTGAATTACATAGTGAAACCCTGTCTCAAAAAGGCAAAAAAAAAAAAAAAATTCTAAGCTGATCATGGTGGTAACTACTTGTAATCCCAGCACTTAGGAGGCTGAGGCAGGAGGATCACTGCGAGTTTGAGGCCATGGGCTAGGCAGTGAATTCACGGCCAGCCTAGACTACATAATGAGGCCCTGTCTCAAACAAAACAAAATTATTCTAATGTCAACCTAATTTAGCAGTAGGGTTATTTATTTACTTATTTTTGTGGTTCTGGGACTCCAACCCATGGCCTTACACATGCTAGACAAGGGCTTTACTACTGAACTACACCCGCAGCTATTTATTTCTTTTTTAATTATGCGTTTCAAGGGTGCAATAGGGAAGCAATGGAAAAGAAATGACATACAGTGGGCATCCATCTGGTTCATTACACATAATATCACTTAATCTTAACAACACTAAACTATGGATCTTATTATTCTTATTTTTTATTTTAATTTCTTTTCTTTTTTTTTGCCAGAGACAGGGTCTCACTATTTAGTTCAGGCTAACCTTGAACTCACTATGTAGCCCAGGCTGGCCTCCAACTCATAGCAATCTTCCTGTCTCAGCCTCCTGAGTGCTAGGATTACAGGGTATGTACTACCACACCCAGTCTTAATTTTAAAAAGTTTTAAAAGTTGGAATCTTGCTATGTTGCCTACTCTGGCCCAAACTCCTGGGATCGAGGGATCCTCCTACCTTGGCCTCCTGAGTAGCAAAGACTATACGCACATGCTATTCCTGTTTTATAGATGGGGGAACTACACTTACTTAAAAGTCAAACAAGTAATATGTAGGTGATGAGGTCAGAATCAGATCTACATCTGAGTACTAAATCCAAGTTCTCTACCCAGCGGGTTTATATCACATGGAAACCTAGGCTTTTGATTCCTTACTTGCCTTGTGAGAGACTGAGTTTATTCCCAAATAAACAAACTGGGATTCTGTCTGTTTTCACATCCCCTTTACAGGATGGTAAACTTAGTATCAGAAAGTTGAAAGTAACCACCTTCCCCACTTCCTGTGACCAAATCTGAATTCACTCTGTAATCTCAGTACTGGTAGGGACTATGTCTATCTTATTCCCATGTATCCTTTCTAGTGCCCAGCACAGGGCCTACTGCATGAGAGATATTCAATACAGGTTGAATGAATGACAAAAGTAAAAAAAGCAAGATAAGAGGACATGGGACAAAGATTTAAAAGGCCAATGTTTAGCTTAAAGAAGAAGCAAGGAAGAAGAGAGGGAACCAGGAAGAGAATGAAAGAGTAAGATAAGAAAACTCAGCAAAAACAAGCAAGATAAAAATAGTCTCTCGCCACTGTCCTTCAAAATTACTTTCTATATTTGAGCCTAAGTGACAAGTGAAATCTCCTCTGTAATTTCCCATGTGTTCAGTTTAATGAATTTCCGGCAAATGATTCCAGTACTGGAGGGCCAATTTGGACACTGTGGAGGTGGGGGTGGTGAGAAAATGAGGGGTATGAAAATAGACTAACAAATCGAGTTTAGCAACCAAATGAAGGGGTGATTGGAGTCACGTGAGGAGGGAGCCAAGTCCCAGAACTTGCTTGACTCTAAGAAGAACTGGATATTGGTCTTGCTGCAAATGTCACCATGCTATTTCCCTACATGAAACAGAGAGCACCCAGAATCCCAGGCTGCTTTGCAGCTGTTCATTGTACCAAGCTGGCTATCATATACAAAGCTATATTTGTGTATAGAGAGGGCGTTAATTTGTTCTGCACGGTACTGAAGACTGGACCTAGGTGCTAGGCAAACAGTCTACCACTGAGCCACACCCCTAAGTGTTTTTAAAACCACTTTAAACAAGGTCTTTCTAAATTGCTCAGGCTGACCTCAAACTTGGGATCTTCCTGCTTTAATCTTCCAAGTATCTGGGATTAGAGGCGTGTGAAATAATTTAATTTTAAACATTGGAGGGAATAAGAGACTCTGGCTCTTTCAGTTCCCACATGCTTCCTACATGGTAGGTGCACCAAAAACATTGAACCAAGTCATTATGAGGGACTTGTGTTAGGAAGGGAGAGCAATGAAAATGTATACTGTCCCCCTTGTCATCTGTTTGTGCTGCTGGCTTAAATGTCTTAAATTTCTCCATAGACTGAGGAAGGAGCTCTGAGATGCTATAAGACCTACAGTGAAAACTCTTCTTGAACTCTCAGTCCTTCTGCCTCAGCCACCTGAATATGAAAGGTATGTGTGTGTGTGTGTGTGGGGGGGTAACTGGGGATTGAACCCAGGGCCTTCACACTGAACTACATCGCCAAACTCCATGCACGTCTTTGTTTGTTTGTTTTTTTGTTTTGTTTTGTTTTGTTTTTTTGTCTTTTTGAGACAGGGTCTCGCTATGCTGTTCAGGCTGACCTTGAGCTCACTTTGTAGCCCAGGCTGGCCTTGAACTCCCAATGATCCTCCTGCCTCGGCCTTCCGAGTGCTGGGATTACAGGGGTGCGCCACCATGCCCTGCTCCATGCACATCTTTAAAGGAAGGTCTAAATCACTAAATTGCCCAGCCTGGGCTTCAATTTGTGATCCTCCTCCCTCAGTTTTACAAGCATGCACCATCATGCCTGGCTATTACAGTCAACTTTAGAACATTTTCCATCGCATCAGAAAGAAATTCTTAGCTGGATATTGTGGCACACACCTATAGTCCCAGCACTCAGAAGGATGAGGCAGGAGTACCGCCATGAGTTCCAGCCGCAGCTACATAGCGAGTTCAAGGCCAGCTTGAACTACATAGTGACACTCTGACTCAAAAGTAAAATAAAATAAAACAAAACAAAAGAAAACTTTGAAGCTGGGCAGGTGTGGTGGTGCATGTCTGCAATCCCAGCACTCAGGAGGCTGAGGCAGGAGGATTATTCCAAGTTCAAGACCAGCCTGGGCTACAAAATGAGCTTAAGGCCAGCCTGAACTTCACAGTGAGATCTTATCTCAAAAAGATTAAAGGGGCTGGGGATTTAGCTCAGCGGCAAAAGCGCCTGCCTGGCAAGCGCAAGGTCGTGAGTTCGGTTCCTGGTACCAGAGAAAAACCAAAAAAAAAAAGATTAAAAAAAAAAAAACTTTGAAAGTTGAGGTATTAGCCAGGTATGGTGGTGCACACTTGTAATCCCAGCACTCAGAAGGCTGAGGATTGCCATAAACTGGAGGCCAACCTGGGCTACATAGCAAGAGTCTGTCTAAAAAAAAAAGAAAAAAAAACCTGGGGTGTTGACACACCTCTGTAATTTCAGCTACTTAGGAAGCTGAGCCAAGAGGATCAAAAGTTTGAGGCTACCCTGAGCAAATTAACAAGTTTCTCTCTCAAAGCAGGGCAGGTGCTAGGGATGTAGCTCAGTGGTAGAACACCCCTGTGGGTTTAATTCATAGCAGCACAAGAAAAAAAGTTTGGTTTTACTTAGTTTACATGACCCCCTTGGCTGGGTCACAAAGTAGATAACATCATGACACAAGTGTTATATGTGAGAAAAAAATGGTGAGGTCAGACATCCAGGGCAAATCTTACTCATTTGTTTGTTTTTTGAGACAGGGTCTCTCCATGTAGTACAGGGTGGTGTTGAACTCAGTATTTAGCCCAGGCTGGCCTTGAACTCATGACAATCATCCTGCCTCACTCTCCCAAGTGCTGCGATAATGGGCTGTGCCACCAGGCTCCAGTGAATCTTGCTCTTTTTATAACAACCTGTTCTTGCTGGGCATGGTGGTGCACAGCTGTAATCCCAGCACTCAGGAGGTGGAGGCAGGAGGATCACCTCAAACTGGAGGCCAGTTTGCTCTCCATAGTGAGTTCCAGGCCAGCTTGGAATATCTATCTCAGAAAAAAAACAATTCTCATAGGAACTAGTGGGGTCCCTAGGGAAGTATATTAATCCCTATGCACTCTCAATAATCCAATCACTTTCTCCTAGGTTTACCTCCTAAAAGTTCTAACACCTCAATACTGCCACACAGTGGACCAAGTTTCTAGCACAAGAATCTTTGGGGAATGTGCTGGTTAATCTTGTCAGTTTGCCAGGATGAAGAGACTCTTGACAGGTTTGTGGAGTGAATGGGGAAATGAACAGATTATTAGAAGGCGGGGACTAGTTGGAGGAGATGGGGCCAGGGACATGACCTTAAGTACTGTAGCTGGTCCTGGCCCCTTCCTCTGCCCCTTCCCCTGCTCTCTGCTTCCCAGATCCCAAGAGTTGAGAAAATTTCCTCTCCCATGCCCTTCTGCCATGATGTTTCTGCATCGGAACCTGCCAACCATGAACTGAAATTGTAAGTCAAAATAAATCTCTCCTCCTTTAAATTGTGGGTACCAAATATTTTGTCTCAGCCACTTAAAGCTGACCAATACAGGGGGCAACAACAGCCAAACCATGGCGAATATGAATGGAATCAAACAATATAAAGTTTTTTTGGACTGGCTTGTTTAATTTAATATAATGTTTTCAAGATCCATTCAATTTGTAGTATGAATCAGTACTTCATTATTTTTATGGCTGAATAAATTCCATTGGACGGATATACTACATTTTATTTATCTACTCGTCAGTAATGGACATTTGGCTTCTGTTTGTTTGCTTGCTCGCTTTTGGGACAGGATCTCATCACGTAGTTAAAGCTGGTCCTAAAATCATATGTATCCCAGGCTGGCCCCCAAGCCAGGCAAGCTGCCCCTGACCTGTGCCCAGGAATGTCTAGTATTTAGCATTCTTCCCGCAGACTGTAAGCATGAGGCAAGCAGGAATCTCTATTATAGGGCCTTATCAGTGGCAGCTGAACAAGTTGTGGCTCATGTTAGATGCTCAGTAAATGTTGACCAATTGACTGAACAAATTGTTAAATATTTCTCTAATGGTGGTTCCTATTCAGGAAAGAGAAAAGACCAACCTCGCAAGCAAATGGTATTAAGAAAGAACAAGAATATAAGGCTCAGTGGAGGAGAAAGGGCAGGGCAGGGCAGTCCAGAGGTTCGGGAATTGGTGTCATTTGGGGCCACATTTAGGTCAAATTCAGAACAAACATGTCCTCAACCATTGTTTTTCTAGATATGTTTCCCTTTTCTACTTTATTTTTTGGATGTTTGAAACAAAGTCTTATTACGTAGTTCAGGCTCTCTGGAGCTCACTATGTAGCCCAGGCTGGGCTCAAACTCATAGTGATTCTGCTGCCTCAGCCTCCTGAGTGCTGGGATTACAGGAATGTACCACCATGCCTGGCTCCCTTTTTCAAAAAATTATTATTCCTAGCAGTTTGATCTTTGAGGTCATAAGAAACAAAAATATTAGAAAAATACTGACATTACAGGGAAAAGAACATATAAATCAACCCCTACCATGAATTCAGAATTTAAAAGAATAGAGGTCAAAAATGTTGAGTATAAAGGATCTTATAACTAGGAAAAAAGAAATCATAATCTAGGTTTCCCTCCACAGGACGTTAGATGGCCTTTATTTAAAATAGGAGACCACATTTTCAGTATAATATGAGAACATGATTTACCTCACAGTCTTATTCATATTGACTAGCCTTCCTTCTACATAAATCCTACCTTCTACCTGGACTAACCTGTGAATCCAGTCATCACCAGGTTATTGGTTCCAATCTCCCCAAAGGCTCTCTTATCACTTTGTACTCAATTACTTCCTGTCTCTTCTCTGAAATCACACATGCACTTGTTTACACACACACACACACACACACACACACACACAAACACACACACACACAGCTTTCCTTTTCATGAATCCTCAGGGTAGCTCTGCCTTCACTTTGTGTGGTTGAAAGGAGAGATAGCAAAATATATGAGATGGCAGTGCAGTTTCCCTTTTGTAGAGCTCTGCAGGACAATTATCCACCCAATCTGCTCCGTTTTATAGCCCTCATAACCCTCCTTTATGATTACACTGTGACAGCCGGATGTGGCGTTGATTATGGCAGCAGTCTTCAGCCACATTTCCTATTTAACTGCAAAGCAGAGCTCTTGTCTACCAGCCCAGCAATGAGTAATTTTAATTACTGTATTTATGTAAGGCTTTTCCTAACCAGAGTCTGTGTCCAACTCCGTTAAAACTGCAGAGGATTTGTGCCTGACTCTTGTCAAGTGGGTCTTTGGCCCTGTAGCCTAGGGTCTCTTGTTGGAACCAATTTGGGCTGTGAGGTTTTTCAGGAGACGTCTGCAAGGGTTGGGGTGCACAGGAAGCATTTTTTTTTTTACTTAGGAGAGAACTGTGAAAATAGATAACAAAACGTGCTGGTAGATGCCAAGGGCAGTGGTCGATTCCCAGGGGCTAGCTAGGCCATAGTGCTAGGTACACTGGATTAGCAAATATTAGCAGGATTCAGGGGAAAAAGTAGTGGAAAGGGAGGCGCTCTGGAACCTAGGAAATTACAAATAAATGTAGGAATTACTGCCAGTAGGCTTTTTTCTTTCTGGGCCCCAGCATCACCCTCTATAAAGCAGGACAGAATCATAACGACTCTACCTTGGGAAGAAAGGAAGTTTCACTGTTCAAAAGAAATCTTCCTAACATAACGTTCTGTCTGTCCAGACTAGACACTGGGCCGACTGTGCCAGGCAGAGAGAGCTGGCGTTCTTTGGCGCTGCAGATCAAGTAAGGGTCTTACTTTGGAGACCACATTTTCAGTGGGTCTTACTGCAGAGAACCAGGGCTGCAGTCTGCAGGGTTAGGCAATAGGGTTGAGTCCGGAAACTCTCCTGGAGAGATCTCGAGGACCAGACCAAGGTGACCTGTGTGGGTGGGAGATCCATTAGCCCTGTGACAGCGCGGCTACAGAAGGAGGATCAGCGTGGGAAGCACAAAGGCGTGGGGCAGGCTTACAGCCACCAAAAACGGCCACACGTGTGCGAGACACGCGCCGTGGCCGCGCTCTGAGCAGGCAGGCAGTCAGCCCAGCTCTCTAGGACACACACAAGGTCCTCTCCTTCGCAGCTCCAACCTATCGCCCCTTCAACCCATGCATAAAAACAGGACGGCACCCCGGGCCCTTTTCCACCGGAGACTCTCGCGTGCGCGCGGCGTGTACACTTCCTCTCCGCGCTTGAACTTTAAACCCCGCCTTTCCGGGGCGGGGGGGAGGTGTGTGCCCCGCCCACAAGGCCCCGCCCACCGGCCTGCCCGGGGCGGGGCTCCCGCGCCTCCCGGCTGCCCTTTCACCTGCGGCCTCCGAGCCGGCTGGTGCTGCCAGCGGAGCTCTCCGCGCGTGCGAGTGAGTTGGGGCCTGGCGGGGAGAGCGGGTGATTTACTGGAGTGGTTTACGCTCCTTAGCGGGGAACGTATGTGTGGAGGCTCCGGCCGGGGCACGGGACAAAGCTGGAGTTCGCTTACTTGTGACTCCGGGCTGGGAAGCTTTTTTTTTTCGGGGGGGGGGTTTCCGGTATCGGGAATCGAACTCACGACCTTGCGCTTGCCAGGCAGGCGCTGTGCCGCTGAGCGAAATCCCCAGCCCCCACTGGGAAGCATCTTAAAGAGCCTGGGGTTTTCCCCCCGTGTTCCGCTGGCCCTCTTTCTCGCTGGGGAGTCATCTGGAGCCGGACTCCGAGAGCCCCGTCTCGGGGCGCCGCGGGCACGAATCGTACTTGGGAAGGCTGTGGGGAGCACGTGTCCAGGTGGAGCTGGCGCGGCCCCTCTCGGCCCAAGGCCAGCAAAGGACCAGACCGCTTTTAGGTGCTGTTTGTAGACACGAGCAATGAATCCTCAGTTATGCTCCTGTTCCTCTGATATTTTGGAGATTAGGGGTGAGATATATTTGAAAATGGTTGGGAGAAGACACGGGCTGAGCTAGCCTAGCCTTACATAAATAAGGTGAATTATGATGGTGAGTGTGTAGACACGTTTATTAACGTTTTTGTAAACCTGTTGGTTATTGTTTGTTTTGCGGTAATGGCGATTGAATTTAGGGCCTTCAAACTAAGCTACATCCTAGCCCCCCTGCCTTTAATGGTCGCCGTTGTTTCTGTGGCTCTGGCTTCACAAGCTGCACGTGTGCTTTCCAGACTGCTGGCCGTTTATAACCTGGAATGCTTTGATTGCAGAAATGGTCGATGTTAGGCCTCGGGTAGAAGAGACCCCAGGTGAGTGCAACCCAGTTCACCCCTTTTGTGCCCCAGTTGTAGGCAGCTGCCTAGGTTGTCGTGTACCTGGGCGTGTGTTACACTGCTGGGAGAACAGCAGCAAATAGCTGGTTGGCATTCTGGTCCTGGTTCATGACACTTGTGTTAACTGTTCCAGGATGTCAGCATAGTTTTTTATCCAGTAAGGTTAAATCTGTAAGAGGATAACTTTTGCAGGGATAAAACCTAAAAGTCCTTATCTTCCTGAGTAGTTGTGGTCTAATGGGTTTGACTAGTATGGATTTACTTTACTCAACACCTTGTAAACAACGCAGTGATCAAATCAGGGAAGAATGTGTAAATAGAAAGGGAAATTAAAATTTTTGTAGTGCCTATGAAGCACTTAAAGGGTCTGGTATAGGAAGAAGTTAGTTTCATTGAAATCAAGGTTTAGGGCTCCCATTCTCACAATGGTTAAAGGATTTCATCACTGAAATTCTCCATGGGGTGCCCTATCAGGGAAATACTGGTATGAGTTTGCTTTATAGATGGTATGGAGACCGAGGCAGGGAGATCACTTGATCTTCCCAGACAACATAGTAAAATCCTACCTTAACAGCAAAATTACCGGCAGACTCTAGCTCTTCAATAAAATATAGTTGGTAGAGAGGCCCTGGGACCTAAATTTGGAAATATCTATACTAATTTCTGCTTTGAGTTGACAGTGTATTTGTGTTGGTACTAATTTTCAACAGTGAACAGAGTTGGTGCCCCTTTAGTGTATTAAATCCCCATCATAGTGATGTTTTAGAATGCTATTTTTTTGAAAATGGACTCCTCAGTTCTAGGAAAAAATTTACCACTCAGTGTGTTTCTGGAGCTTGTCCAATAGAGTTGACTTAGTTACTGCTTCTGTGAAAAGTAGCATCCTAGTTTACACAGGAGGAACTGGTGCGGGTTTAGGGGGACAGGGAACTAAGTTATCAAAGCTTGTTTTGTTCCACCAATTGGCTTTTCTGTTAAAGGGATTCTGTCAGCTAAATGTTGAGGGCTTTGTATGAATGCCTTAAATGTTAATTGTGAATAGCCTTTCACCTGTGGGGTCTTAACACTAAGGCTATCCAGAGGGTTTGGGGGATGATTAGCTTTATGATAATCATAGGCAAGGAAAAGTCAAACAGTGGGAACTATGATAAATCTTG